CCTTTTTTGCTGACCCTCTACTTTACCAAGCATGATATCCTTCTCCTGGGACTTATCTTTTCTGACAACATGACCGAAGTAGGTGAGACAAAGTCTGGCCATTCTTGCTTCTAAGGAGCATTCTGGCTGCATTTCTTCCAGGACAGATTTGTTTGTTCTTCTGGCAGTTCCTGGACAATGAATATGGAAGATCAAAGAAGAGTTGATGCCTTTGAATTTTGGTGTTGGCAAAGAATACTGAAAATACCATGGACTGCCAGTCAAGCAATAGACAGACCTATGAGGTGAACAGTAACACTAGAGGGGTATGCACCCCTTAGAACAATCATCCACATGAGGTCAAAAGAGCAGCTTTTGCCCAGGGATAAAGCTCAGAAGGCAGAAAAGAAGGATGAATGGAAATGACAGGAAGAAATAGGAAAAGCGCTGTTACATTGTGGGGATTGCAATCAATGCCACGAAACAAAATGGCTATGAATTGTTGAATGGAAAAGTGATTTGTTCTGTAAACTTTCATTCAAATCACAATTTTTAAAAATTTACCAAAAAATCACTCTGGCTGCTGTGTTAAAAATAGATTATAATAACAAGGGTGAAAGTAGGGGGACAAGTTGGAAGGCAATGACAATCCAGGAGATAGATTTGATGACTTGGCCCAAGGTGGTAGTAATGGAGATGGTGAGAAGTGGCTAGGTTCTGGATATGCTTTGAAGGTAAAGCCAAGAGAATTTCTTCATCAGTTGGATGTGAAGTGTGAGAGAAAGAGAAAGAGAGAGTACTTCAGGCCACCTCCAACATTTTGGGCCTGACCAAGTGGAACTTTTGACTCAAGTACTCTTTCCATATTACATCTCACTTCCAAGTGCCACACAAGGCAATTACCAAAGGTTGTGAGTAGCAGGACTGTCCTGATTGTATGTTACACAGTGAAAGCAATGGCTCCCCAGAGGGGTGAATCTGGGCCTTGTCATAATCAGCACATCTTAGAGTGATCAAGAGTGAATGGATCTTTACCAATAAGTGTGCCCTGAGTCAACATGGATTACTTAACATATAAAATTTATTAAATCCAAATATATCAAATCCCCCAAACACATTGCCATCAAGTAGGTACTGACTCATAGCAACCCTATAAGACAGAGTAGAACTACACCCATAGAGTTTCCAAGGCTGTAAATCTCTTTGTGTGTGTGTGTGTGTGTGTGTGATTTTGGTGAAAGTTTACAGAGCAAATTCATTTTCCATATAGCAGTTCATATACATTTTGTTTCATGGCATTGATTGCAGTCCCCCTAATGTAACAGCTCTCTTCCCACTTCCTCTCTGTGGCCACCTTTCCCCTGTGTCCTTCTTTCCTATACATTCCTGCCTTCTGATCTACTCCCTGTGCAAATACTGCCCCTCTGATCTCCCATGATTGATTGTTCTAAGGCGTGTACCTACCTGGTGTAAATATTCACCTTATATGCTTGCCTATTGTTTGGCTGGAAGCCAGAGGAGTAAGTTCAATTCCAAGCCTGAAGGGTTACTAGGGGCCATAGTCTCAGGGGTTTCACCAGTCTCTATCAGACCAGTAAGCCTGTTTGGCACCCCCCCCCCTTTTTTCTGATTTTGAGTTTTGTTCCACATTTTTCTCCAACTCTATCCAGGATCTCCTATTCTGATCCCTTTTCAAGTGGTTGACAGTGGTAGTCAGGCACCATCTAGTTCTTCTGGTCTCAGGGTTATGTAGGCTGAGGTTCACATGGTCCACCAGTCCCTTGGACTAATTGTTTCCATGAGTCTTTTGTTTTCTTCATTCTTCTTTGCTCCAGACAAGGAGATACCGGTTGTTGCATCTAGATGGCAAGGCTGTAAATCTTTACAGAAGCAGACTGCCTCATCTTTCTCCCATGGAGCATCTGGTGGATTGAAACCACTGACCTTTCAATTAGTAGCTGAATACTTTAATCACAGAACCATCAGAGCTCCTTGGAGACAATTTAGGAAGCTATTAATGCAGTCCCACCTGCCATTTAAGCAAAGGAAGTACAGCTTGCTGATTGTTAATGAAATCAGTTTTATGGGTGATTTAATTCAGGAGGTGTAAGAAAGATTACCTCCCAGGTTTTGGTGCAGTTGTTACAATAAAGTCAGGAAGGAAGGCAACATTAGGATATCTTACTGCCAAATGGCTGGTGTCCAGTCTAACCAAAAGACATTTACAACTCTGTTCCTTATAAATCCTGCTCCATTTTTTAAAAATGTTCAACAGAGTTGCCTCTTCCTGCAAGATTTCTCCCCTGATTATGCCATCAGTTGGATAAGGTCTCATATCTGAAGTGATAGAGGAGTTTACTTTCTGGGATTTATGATTGCTCCTTTAGAACACATTGACAGTTTATTGCCCTATCATAGTATTAGCCCAAGATGGGGCAAAGTGGTATATAAAGCACTGATATGTCTGCAATTTTGTTGTTGTCGTTTCCAATTTCAGAATACAATGATGATGGTAGTTCCTCTCAAGGAAAAAAGAATTATCAGAGTTCTTTCCAAAGGAGCTGTGGTGAGGAAAACAGTAATTATAAACATAGTGGGTATGAGCCTTTGCCTTCCCACGTCCAGCTGGATGATGGAAACTCAGCAATGAGGGATGCCCACAAGGACCTCCAAATAAGACAGTAAGTGACCAAGCAGCATGGTTTGTATGGAGCTGCCACTGAGACTATGCAACTGAGCTTCCTTGTATTCTTATTTTTCTTCTCCCACTGGAAAGTTGAAAGATGCTAGAAGTGGAATAATGATTGAGCAATCATGATTGTAACCCTGCTATCAGTGAGGTGAGGTTATATAGAAAACTTTCTATACATTTATGGACCCATACCTTCTCTTCACTTCCCCACAGCACCCCCACTACCACTCAAGGAAACAATAGAAGAGTTAAATTGAATAATGAAGATCGTATCTATATTACTGTATCGAGAGAGAGAACATTTCAAAAGAGAAAAGTGGAGGATAGGCCTGTGTGGAAAGATAGAACAACTCCAAAGAGAGAAATGGAGGAGAATGGGCAGGATGAAACTTCCAGTGACTGGTTCAAGATCACAGTGAGTGTCCTGGAAAAATGTAGAGAATGTGCAGCAGGGACATTGTGGTGGGGTTGGTCAGATTGAGTTGTACTAGTCTCATGTAGAGACACTAGGAGCATGGGAAGTTGATAATCTGTCCTCCTTATTGCTTGGAGGTTAACATGCTTGGTCATCTAAGGGGAGGTTTAGGAAAATGATAAAAAGGTGAAAAGGCTGCCTGCAGGAAGGCTGAGAAGGTTGTCCAAAGACAAAGAGGGAAACCTACTTCCAAGGAGATGGAGCAACTCCCTGCAGCATGGTTCAGTTTGGCTCAAGCCAAGTGTGTATGTTGGAGGAGGGGATGCAGAGCTGAATCTCTGGAGTTCTTGTTGGAGGAGAAGACAGGGCCTGCATTATGTAAGAACTCCTAGCACCTTATAAAAGGAAGATCATGGCAAACATCTTAAGGTGATTATTTGGAGGAGAGCTTTTGAATGGAAAGGAAGGGGTTTAGAAAATCCGTATTTGGCACAAATTTAAGAAACCATGTCAATGGTCCTTTCTTTAGAAGTCCTTTAAAGCTCAGTAGAAGATCAAAACAGAACACTTGGTGGGGTCTGTTCTCCAGCCTTAATTCCATGTCGTCACTCTTCTTTCCTATACTTTCTTTTACCCTTAGGTTCCTTGTGGGAGAAAGTATGACAAGACTTGGCTACTGAATTCCATCCAGAGCCATTGCAGTGTTCCTTTCACCCCAGTTGATGTAAGAGAGAATGGTGAAACAGATGATTGGGTAGAGAGGAGGGAGGATGGTCTCAATATGCAGTGGGCTTGGATCTCTGAAACTACTGCTGTTGCCTTTGCTCCCTGTAGTTCCACTACGTGAGAAAGCATGCCATATTCTTTGTCCAGGATACTGGCACTGCATCTGCATTGAGGGCTATCAACTACAAGATTTGTGATGAAGAGAACAAAAAGGTGTGTGCTAAGGACATTAACTGTACCTAGCCTGGGGGTAAGGAGACAGATCAGGGGCTGAAAACTCTTCTTTGGGATTAGAGTTCCTGGTACTTACCCTGCCACTCTTTCCTGCAGATACGTATTTTTGTCAGACACTCTATTGTACCCCATTCTGTACAGAATAAGTTGAGGCCAGAACAAATGAAACAGCTAAAGGTAATGCAGACACAAGACATGCTGTGTGCCCATACCCAGACTCTCTTCTTTTTACCCACCCCAATTTCTCCATCATCACCACCACCACAACTGCCTCAGAGTTGCTATTTCCATCTCTGCTTTTGCAGCGGACCATGAACAAACGATATGATTTCTCCCAGCAATCTCTTGACCTCCAGAGCTTTCGCTTTGATCCAGGTATGACTGATAGAAGTAATTCTAGAGAGGGTGAGAGCAGAGGTGTATGGTAACTTGGGGAGGGTTGACACTGGTGCTGGTTCAGCCAATCCATCTCAGCCTTCTGATTCCTTTATCTCTGTTTCCTAAAGACTTGGTGGACCATGATATTGACATGATCTTGAATCAAAGAAATTGCATGGCTGCCACCCTGAAGATCATTGAAGAGAATTTCCCTGAGGTGAGGCTTAGGCCCAGTGCTGGTATTTAGATTAAAAAACAACAAACCAAACTCACTGCCATCGAGTGGATTCCTACTCATAGTGACCTCCATTGGGTTTCCAATGCTGTAAATCTTTACAGAAGCAGATTGCCTTCTCTTTCTTCTGCAGAGCCACTGGTGTGTTCAAACCACCGACCTTTTGGTTAGTAGCCAAATGCCTTCACCACTGTACCACCAGAGCTTTTTTTAACCAAAAAAAAAAAAAAAAGAAAGAAAGAAAGAAAAAAGAAAACCATTGCTATTGAGTCTGTTCCAATTAATAGTGACTCCTATTGAATTTCCAAGGTGGTAAATCTTTATGGAAGTAGATTGTCCCATCTTCTTTCCACAGAGTGGCTGGTGAGTTTGAACCACCAACCTTCTGGTTAGTAGTTAAATGCCTTACCAACTCCACCACCAGAGCTCCTTAGTGCTTCTTATGTTGCTTGCTATGTGCCGTTGAGTCGGACTCAACTCATAGCAACCCCTCCTTGGGTTTCTGAGGCAGTATCACTATGGAAGTAGATTGCCCAACCTTCCTTCCAAGGAGTGGCTGGTGGGTTTGAACCACCAGCATTCTGGTTAGGAGTCAAGTGCCTTAGGCACTACACTACCAGAGCTCCCAGAGTTTCTTATAGAGGGGTAGAAAGGATAAGATGTAGGGCAAATTTGTCTCTGAGTCCTTAGATCCCACTGCCATTGAGTTGATTCTGACTCATAGTGACCCCCATCAGGTTTTCAAGGCTGTAAATCTTTACAGAAATAGATTGCCTCATCTTCTTCCCACGGGAGCAGTTGGTGGGTTCAAACCATCTACCTTTTGATTAGCAGCCCAATGCCTTAACCACAGTGCCACAAGAACTCCAAGGCCCTACATAGTAACCATCAATCTAACTTTTCTTCTCAAAAGATGTTGTCCTTGAACTTGTGCAGCAACAGACTGTACAACCTGGATGGGCTGTCTGATATTATACAGAAAGCCCTCAAACTCAAGATCCTGAACCTCTCCAACAATAAGGTGAGAAGTGGGAGCCATATTGAATTTGGGTTGAGGGTGAGTGACAGTGCTCATCAAGGTGATGGTGAAAGACAGAAAGGTGCCTTTGGTTGAGGATGTGGGCAGGATGAAACTTCCAGAAGGCACATATGGCTCTCTGTCCCTGGGACTTCTCTCCCTCATTTCTTCCTCATTTTTCTCAGCTGAATTCGACGTGGGAGTTAGAGAAGATAAAAGGGCTGAAGCTGGAAGAGCTGCGGCTACAAGGAAACCCATTGTGCAACAACTTCTCAGACCACTCCAGCTATGTTAGGTCAGTGGTAACCACTGTCAATCATTCTGAAGACTTTCATCCCCTGGTAGCGTGAGCTACCCCTTTACATGAGGCTGTAGCCCCAGTCCTCTGGGAGGACCACATGCCCTGCCCTCTTCTCTGTCTGTCTCTCACCTGTGCTTAGAGGTGTCTCTGCCTTCCTCTGGCCTGATCACTGCTCCCCGGGTGCTGGGGCCTATTTCACACCTCTTTGCACCCAGCCATCTCTGCCATGGCCTCCCTGGAATATCCTCCAGGAAGTAGAGATCCCTCTTCCTCCCCAAGACCAGGGGTGTGTACACTGTGCCCTGATCCCCCACTGAGGCAGCCTTGAGCCAGATACTGGTGCCCTGGGTTTTGAAGGTGCTTCCTGACCAGGCCTTCCTGATCAGACAGGCCTTCCTGCTCTGAGCTGAGATGGGGCTTCCCTCCTCGTCCTGTGATAAGCCACCACTCACTTTCTCCAAAAGGGTCCCCAGACCTGTGCCAGGCCACCAACAGGCCTCATCCTGACTGGTCCTTCAGAGGAGTACTGTGTAGAGCAAGATGGTCTGATTCCTCAACTAAGACAGGGATCATCAGGGAGAAGGTGGCACTCCTAAGAGGGGCCACAGACCCTCAAACCCATGCTGTGGTATTATCTGAACCTTTACTCCTGGGGAAAGTCTCCTGCCCCATTGGCTGCTCTATTGCCTATGCCTAGCTCAGATGGGATCACACAGGTGACAAAGGCCAATGGGCCCCCATCCAAACTAGTACCTGTTTTCCATTCCTACCTCAACCCCAGTGCCAGCCAGGGGCAGATGAAGGACAGAACAGCAACAGGCAGCCACTTCCCCTTTCTTCCCTCTTTTCTCCCTAATCCCCACCATCCACAGTAAACTTCTTCCCCTTGCCTTTCCTTATTTCTCTTTCTTTTTTTTTTTATCTCCACTCCCCTGTGTCTCTTCAACTCTCCCCTCCCCTCCATTCTCTCCCTTTCTTTACTTATCCCCTCCCTACCTCTTGAGGCTGCCTCAATCTTCTCCCAGCCTGGCATTCCGGGTCATCCCTGGGGGATGCCGGGCCTGGCAGAGCCCTGGACACCTCACCTGGACACCCTGGTGAGGTAAAAGAACCCCGGGCCCCACCCATTCCCTCCTCCCTTTGGAGCCTTCCCAGGGAACTTGGAAGGAGGTAAGTGACACAGGGAGGGGAAGGAATCCCTGAAACCTGGGTTCCATATGCTGCTTCTGTGTCACTGGAGAGGCAGGTCAAGGCCATTCTGTGGGAGCTCCCCAGGTGAAAAGAGGGAGAAAGAGAGAGGGAGGGAGAGGCTGTGCCTTAATATAGTCCACATGTGGGATGCCCAGTTCTCTGCAGGGAATGTAGACAGAAGACCCCTGTCTGTTAGAAGCCCTGGGGGCTGCTGGATGGGCAGAACACCCTGGGCTCTGTTCATGGTATCAGTGTGTTGTCTCAGAGCAGGCAGCCCAACACTGAAACTGTCAATCACTTCTTATTTTTGGTTTTGGACAGTGCCATCCGGAATTGTTTCCCCAAGTTGTTATGCTTGGTAAGTGCTTACCTTCATTGTTGTCTCCTTTAATACTTATTACCTACACATCTGCCCTCGACTCCTTTGTGTCTTGCCTAGCTTACATTTTTGCACTGAACTATTATGCATTTTAGGGAACATGGACTTCTTAAAAAGGTATGGCTATGTTTCATTGGGAAATGTCCATAAATGCACACACACACAGGCAGACATTGAATATAATAGTAGAGGCTTCCAAGCCCCATGGTGATAATTCTGATTTTAGTCTGGCTCAGAATTTTCAGGACCGTTTGATACCTGACCTCTGAACCTCACTCTCTCCTGGACTATTTCATCTCATTGCTTATCCAGTACTTCTCTGTTCTGCATTGCTGACTTCTTTTATTCCCTAGGATGGCCAGCAGTTACTCCAACCAGTTACAGTTAAAAATGAAACTCCTGATAAAATGAAATCCTGCCAGGTGAGTTGGAGGTACCAACATTTGGCATGTTGAAATGGGGACTCTGTTAGCCTCATAGTCCCAAGTTGTTTTTTTTTAATTCTAGGAAAGCTATATAGTATCTGATGCCCTGAAGAATCTAATCTTGCAATTCCTCCAGCAGTAAGTATCCTTGGAACCCCAAAGCAGGGAGGGTTGAGATGGTTCAGGCCAACCACACACAGGCCTGATCTTGGGGGCTTTCAAGTCCACTTACTGGTCCAGACCACAGATAGTCTGTCTCCTTTTGCTTCCCCACAGGTATTACTGGGTCTATGACCATGGGGACCGCCATGGTCTTCTGGGCGCTTACCATGATGAGGCTTGCTTCTCACTGACCATTCCCTTCAACCCCAAGAACCCAGCTCTGTGAGTATCACAGACCCAATGACAGCCCTGGGCCCTGTGACTCCCCGGCTGATACTGACCCATTCCCCACCCTCTGTTGTTCTTTTTCTCCTAGAAGTAGCTTGGACAAGTACTCCAAGTATAGCAGAAATATGAAGAAATGCAAGGACCCTGGTAAGTGTGTGTGTGTGTGTGGGAGATTGGATGGAACAGGAGGTGTGAATGGTTTAATCATAGGGGCCAGGTGAATGAGGCAGCCCCTGACCTTGTCTTCTCCTCCCCTCACACAGTCCTGCTTGTTCGGTTGCTGAAACATGCAAACAATGACATTGTTGACTTCCTCAATGTGTTGCCCAAAACCCAGCATGACCTGAACACCTTCCTGGTGGATATGTGCAGCCAGACGGTGAGCACCTGCTTCCTCCCTGAGGCCAAGACAGAGGAGGTGGGTAGGAAGTGTGTGGGGGATGCTGGAGGTCTGAGCTTCTTTACTCTTTCAGGAGAAGATGGTCTGCTTTTCGGTCAGCGGGCTGTTCAAGGAGGGTGAGCGTCTGTAGAGTCCCTTCCCCATGTCCCCCACTGCTCCCTCTCAGTCCTCTCCAGGCTTCCCTCATCCCTTCCCTGCCCATTCCCTCTGTGCTCTCCAGCTCCCACCCTTCCCCCAACCCACCCTGTTCTGACCTATGTCCACACCTGTCTGCCCCAGCACAGCCCAACTCTTAGGGACACAGGCTGTGGAGTTTGAGGCTCTCATCCTTGTCCTTTGCTCTGCCACCTTGGGACACTTGCTTAACCTCTCAGTCACCTCATTTGCAAAATGGGGCTAGCGATAGCCATCTCTTGCACTGTTGTGATAAATGAGGCCAGTGAACCTGTGAGGAGTTTGTCACAGGGCCTGACACAGAGCAGGGGCCCTATCACTGGGAGGTGGTTGTTCCTATTGTTACCCTACCCATCACTGAACTCCCTCCTGACTCCCAGTGGACAGTTGTCCCTGTGTGACCCCTTTAGAGTGCTGTGGTACAGTAAGAACCTCACTGGGGAGCACTGCTGGTGAGCTTGTAAAGTATGGGCAACTCTGAGGGGGATTGTTGATGGTTTTTCTTGAAGTGGAAGGAGTATGTAATGACAGAATTCGTGCCTTCACCCGGATCTTCATTACTACTCCTGTTGGCAACTCCGGGTAAGTACTGGGTTGTGGGGGCCACGTGGGAACACCTATGCCAGCCTGTAGCCAGTGGTGTGGGAAGATGGTGGTGTAGTTCTCAGAGTTTCCTGAAAACTGCAAAATTCGAAAATATAGATCCCAGGATCGATCTCGCCAGTGGGTAAGAGTGTAGCTGTGGCCCAGTAATAGAGTGTTCCCCCCGACCCCAGCATTCATAAGCAGGTGAACTTTATCATGATGAGACCTCTCTGTGACTCCGTGTCTTCCTCTAAATATGAAGATTAGAGTAGCCACCCCCTTAGGCTGTTGGAAAGGGAAAAGGCATGTGTGAAACTGGCTCTGCATTGTGGGGAAACCTAGAAATCTAGTGAAGCTGGCAGATTGCTCTCCAAAGACAGTTTCTATGGGATGGGAAAGGGTACCCACCATGGAATCTGGGAGGCAAAGACAGAAGGAAAGGGGTTGCTGAGTGACAGCAGGATCAGTATTGGAGGGGTAGGGGTGTCCATCTGTCCAGCTCTCTGAGGGCCCATTCTCCCTCCAGATTACACATCATGAATGACCAACTGTTTGTGAGGGAAGCCAGCCCCAAAGAGACTCAGAGTGCTTTCTCCACCCCAGTATCCACACCCTCCTCCAGCTCCGTGTACACCCTCTCCCAGGAGCAGCAAGAAATGGTGCAGGCGTTTTCCACCCAGTCTGGGATGAACCTGGAGTGGTCTCTGAAGTGAGTGCTGGGAATTCTGGGGTTAGGATGACCTGGGAGGAACAGGGGAAAGGAAAAATAAGAACTTACAGGTAATTTTGAAAAATAAATGTTTGAAATTTTTTTGCTTCAAAAAAAAAAAAAAAGTCACAGACACATGAAAATGAAAAAGTTACCCTAATTTTACACTGACATTGTAAATAATTGCTCTGGTGGCATAGTGCCCAAGGCATTTGACTGCTAACCAGATGGTGGTTCAAACCCACCAGCCATTCCTCGGAAGGAAGACTGGGCAATCTACTTCTGTTAGAGATACCTCCAAGGAAACCTAAGGAGGGGTCGCTATGAGTTGCAATGGACTCAACGGCAGTGAGAGAGTGACATGTAAATAATTAAAAAAATATATACAATAATCAGATGACATAATCTTTTATATGGGAAATTGTAACAATCTACTTAAAAACCTATTAGAAACAAGCCATTTCAGCAAGATTGCAGGATGCAAATTCAATAAGCAACAATCTTTTGTATTTCTATGCATATGCAGTGAGTAATCTAAAAATGAAATGAAGGAAACAATTTCATTTACAATAACATCAAAAATGACAAAATATTTGGTAACAAATTAAACAAAAGAAGTGCCAGACTTTTACCCTGAAATGTGCAAAGCATGTTGAAATGAATTAAAGAACACCTTAATAAATGTCAAGACATCCCATGCTCATGGATTGAAAGATGTAATATTGAGATGGAAATACTCCCCAATTTGATCTACAGATGTACTGCTGTCTGCATCAAAACCCTAGCTAGCTTCTTTGCAGAAATTGACTGCTGCCACTAAAATTTATATGGAAATGCAATGGACCCAGAATAGCCAAAACAATTTGAAAATGAAGAACAAAGTTGTAACCACAAACTTTTGGTTAGCAGCTAAATTCTTTAACCACTGCATCACCAGAGCTCCTCATAATCCTCAGTTTCAAAATTTATTACAAAACTACAGTAATCAAGACTGTGAGGTATTGATATATGGACAGACATATAGATCAATGAATAGAACTGAAAGCCCACAAGTAAGTCCTCATGTTTTGGGTCAATTTATTTTCTACCAGGGTGCCAGAAAAATTAAACCAGTGGTGCAGGGACACTTGACTATCCACTCACCAAAGAATGACTTTGCACTTGTATCTCACACCATAAACAAAAATTGACTCAAAATGAATCAAAGACCATTTCTCAGTAGGTCTTCATCATTACACACAGTTCTCATTCTGGTACATGGGCCCCAGCCAACAAATAGCATAGATTTAGTGGTGACATTGCATTGTCAGGGTGTCTGCCCTGTGGTGTCACTGCAGATCACTTGTTCTTCTCTCACCCTAGGTGCCTTGAAGAAAATGAGTGGAACTACACCAGAGCTGGACATGTCTTCACTACATTCAAGGTGAGGTTTGAGGACCAACTGGGTAAAAGATATTTCTAGGCCTTCAGGAAGGTCAAGAGGTGGAGGCAAAGTGTCCTGGGGATAAAACTGAGGGTTCCTGGCTTTTCTGAGGTCTCAACTCTTCCCCTTTCTTCCTCCAGGCTGAAGGCAAGATTCCAGAAGAGGCTTTCAAACAAAGTCCTTAAAAGGACCTCTTGGATGCCAAAGATAACTTACAGACTTATCCCTGAACCAACCAAGGGGCCAGTTTTTCCTGTGTATTTTTTCCCAGTCATGATCCTTATTCATTTTCATAGTAAAGAGTGATATACAGCAGTATCTTGGAAGTGTGATAACTGAACTAAAGTGTATATCTCTAAAATTTGTTCTGAAATTGTGGGGCAATAAGTACTTTCACAGTTTGCTCCTGAGGGTGAAAATTGGCATATCCATTTCTTAGCATCATTTGGAACAATATAATAATATATGTGCAATTAGATGTATATGTACACACATGGATATATAAGTGGAATCATAATGTAGATGTAGTTTTGTATCCATTTCATTTTATTTGTCAAATTTATTGGCATAAATTTGTTTGCAGTATTCACTTATTATCCTTTAAATTTTGTGTAGAATCTATAGTGATTACTTTCTTTGACTTTTGATATTGGTAATTTTTGTCTTCTCTCTTTTTATCATGTTTCAGTGTAGTTGATGGTTTATCAATTTTGTTGATATTTTCAAAGATCCAGCTTTATTTTTTTGTTTATTATTTTCTACTGTTTGTCCAATTTCTATTTAATTGATTTCTACTGTCATATTTATTATATATTGCTTTCTTCTACATGCTTAATTTGTTAAGGTGGAAGCTTAGGTTATTGATTTTTGTCTTTTTTTCACATATAAGCATTTAAAACTATATATTTCCTTCTAAGCACTGTTCTGTCTGCATTTCACCCATTTTGACATGCTGTGTTTTTACTTTAATTGTGATATTTTTGTGATTTATTCTATAACCTATGGGATACTTATAAATATGTTGTTTGATTTTCAAATATTTGGAGATTTTACAGATATCTGTCTATTACTGATTTCTATTTTAAGTTTGTTGTGCTCAAATGACATACTCTGTATTACTTCAATTCTTTTATATATGTTAAGGTTTGTTTTATAATGCAGGGTATTTTTATCTTGATGAATAGTCATTGTTATCTTATTTTCATAAATCTTCTCTGTTTTTAAATGGAAAAAAAGGTATATAAAACCCTATTTATTGTGTTAAAAGGTGCTTTAGCATATTATTTTTCTCTTCCATTTCTTGTTCACATTTTATTGTATACCTAAAGGCTTTTGAACAACACCATGTTTATGAATCCAATAAAGATGTTCATGTAATGATAATTGCTTACTTCACTTTTTAAAAATAGGTATTTGTCTTTTTTGTATAAGGAAGTTGTTTTAGTTTTGGAAGTTTTTTCCTTAATTCTTCTTAGAGTCCATGGCTTTCAGGTACAAAACATAAAAGGAACACATTGATGCAAATCAACTTTCTCAGAGTCTTTGTCATAGCTTTTTTTCTTTTTTTAAAAAAATCCCCTTTTTGTTTGATTTTTCATTTTCTCAGCCATTAAAATATTTGGTTAGAACAATTCTTTATCAAATACTCCTTAAAACAAATTTGTCTATCTTTGTATCAAAAATATCATTTTATCATAGATTGAATTACTCTGGTGGTGTAGTGCCTAAGGTATTTGACTGCTATCCAGAAGGCTGGCAGTTCAAACCCACCAGCCGCTCCTCGGAAGGAAGGTTGGGCAATCTACTTCCATAGTGATACTGCCTCATAAACCCAAGTAGGGGTCACCGTGAGTTGGATCTGACTCGACCAGCAGTGAGATAACAATATTTGACTTGTAAATTTAGACGGTAGTATATTCCTCGTAGCTTTTTTGAAGTTCCATCTCACAACAAGGTGGTAAAGTAGAAAACTTGATAAGTTTGCTTGTAACATGGTATTTACGTGAGACTGGTCTCTTAACATGAATTAAACAGTTCAGTTTTGTTCTTTGTTTCAAGATACCACTAACCTGCTCCTTGAAAGTTTTTCTCTTTTTTAAAGCACTGGAATATGTTACCTGAAAACAATGTGGAATCCACTTTCTCAGGAAATTTTTGAGTCTTTTTCATTTTTCTTGGAATAGATTTATGATTCCTCAAATTAATTTC